AAAGAGTTTTATGCTGGAGAAGATGAAGACTTTTCTTCCCCTATTACGTGTATTTCAGGTATGACGATGGAAAGGGAAATGGTCGTCGTTAAAGGCAGTAACAGATGCTAGGAATTGGTAATTCGGTACAGTTGTTTTCATGACTACCGTGATTTTTTAAACCAAGTGCACATTTTGACTGCCTAATTTCGCAAAATAATAATTCAACGTGCACGTTAATAATTTGCATATCATAAAACGCGGAAAAAATCTTCTTTCCAATGGTGGCATTATGAACTCTTTAAGTTAATTTAGGGAGCAACAATCTGCGAAAAACTGTTTTCCCATGTTAATTCCCTATGTTCGGTTTGAAAGTATTCACCCGGTATAACGGAAAGAGTTCCTTGTAACCAGCATTTTTTCGTTGAGTGATAAATCACAAATCCTAATAAGTGAGGGTTGAACAGTGGAATCATAAAGATGAGTAATTTTTGGGATTGAAAACGACAATCGAGTTAAATAAAAGGCAGAATAGGATGGAAAACAATTCGTGAAATAAATTTTTGCAGTTCGCGACTACGAAAAAGAATTCACATTTGTTAAAATTGAGATGCAATCCAAGTCCAGTAGATTTCTTAATAATGGATGCGAAATCTTCTAGGAAGACTTCGTAATCGCCAACCAAAGTACTATATATTAAGTTCCGAGCGTAACACTGTTATCAATTATCATATCTTGAATTACCATGCAAAATAGCTAGGCACCCAGAGGATCGCCTTGTTGAACACCTCTTTGAGAAGAAATAATCTCGGACCCTTAATAAAGATTGGAAAGATCACGGTAACATTGATTCAAATAGTGGTAATATTGTGGTAAAAAACTGTTCCTCTCGATCAACCAATTAAAAGCATTCATGAAGGCGATTTTCAGTAGTACCTATATTGGTAGTACAGTAGTAGTAGAATGGATTCCAGCTCCCACACTTTCGGTACCAAATCATAACTGAGGTCATAAGGACACTCCAATATCGGTGGATAATTTGAAACAAACGATTTTTGCTAACAACCTTCAAATAGTGGATCCAAAGGCTATTGGACGAGTACCTCCATCTTTCTTCTTAAGCCTAATTTACAGGTCTGGGGTGGATCGCACCCCACAGCCACTTTCAATGTCCATAAGTTTTTTTTCTGAGATTATGCATGGAAACACGGCGCGCAGGTGGCAACAGTTAGAGTGGGGTTCGTTCCACCCCACGCCCGTAAACTTGAAAGTTTTAGTGGCCAGTAAACTAGGGTTAATTTGGGTGCGTAGAATCCAAATCAATTTGTACTTTTTCGATCAGACTTCTCAATCAAAAGTTATAGACTAGAAACCAATTTCGAAAAACAATTCAAAGGGCTGTAACTTTTGAATTAGTAGCCCAATCTTGGAACTGTTTGAAATTATGGATTCTACAGGCCACATTCTATAAGAAAATTTTTTTTCCGGGTCGATCTGAGACATTTTTTTTTCGGGCCTCAAAAAAAGGCAGTGTATAACCTTCCTTTTTTACCAAAAATCGACTGCACCAAAATTTCTCGGGAAAACACTTTTTCTTATTAATTTTGGTGCGTAGAGTCCAAAACAATTCGTACTTTTTCGATCAGACTTCTCAATCAAAAGTTATGGACTAGAAACCAATTTCGAAAGAAAATTCAAAGGGCTGTAACTTTGGAACTAGTAGCCCAATCTTGGAACTGTTTGAAATTATGGATTCTACAGGCCACATTCTATAAGAACATTTTTTTCCGGGTCGATCTGAGACAATTTTTTTTTCGGGGCTCAAAAAAAGGCAGTGTATAACCTTCCTTTTTTACCAAAAATCGACTACACCAAAATGTCTCGGGAAAACACTTTTTCTTATTAATTTTGGTGCGTAGAATCCAAAACAATTCGTACTTTTTCGATCAGACTTCTCAATCAAAAGTTATAGACTAGAAACCAATTTCGAAAAAAATTCAAAAGGCTGTAACTTTTGAACTAGTAGCCCAATCTTGGAACTGTTTGAAATTATGGATTCTACAGGCCACATTCTATAAGAAAATTTTTTTCCGGGTGGATCTGAGACAATTTTTTTTTCGGGGCTTAAAAAATGGCAGTGTATAACCTTCCTTTTTTACCAAAAATCGACTACACCAAAATTTATGGGGAAAACACTTTTTCTTATTAATTTGGGTGCGTAGAATCCAAACCAATTCGTACTTTTTCGATCAGACTTCTTAATCAAATGGTATCAGTTAACATGAGGTTACATAAAGAGCATAGCGTGGCGATCAAATTATATGCGGAATCGCCTAGTTCTAGTTCATCTTTCAGATGTTGTGATCTAATTGCATCCATGCCTCCGGCTGATCCATAGGGAAAGGTGGATAAAGCTTTCTTACGTCGGACTCAGAATGTAAACAGGGAGGGCAATGATTTAAAGATAAAGAAACAGGAGAAGGCTTATTTAAAGGATGAAGATGTTTCTGCCGCAGAGCTTGAAGAGGTTTGCTTGGTGCTATCACATCTTGGGAGACTAATAAAAAGTAGTGCAGCACGTACGTCACCATCAGATAATATGGTCTGTGCTGGATCTTGCGGTTTTGGAGAATAATTTCTGGGTTCTTCTAGGGACATCTGTCAGAATATGATGATAAAGCTTTTGAATAGTAAGTAGTTTCTTGTTTATTTCTATCCCTGAATTTAGATTATTTTTTAAGAAAGTTTATTTTTTCTGGATGGTAAATTTAACACCGCAAAGGTGAAGTAGAAAAGTTTATACCATGAAGTTGGACGGCAATTGTCTTAAACACATCTGTTAATCTTTGGAGATAAGTATACGAGCAGCTTTTTTAAATCTGTTAATAATGTATCCAAAGTAAAATCCATTGAGAAGAAGAATTTCCATCATAAACTTGTTCGATTGTAAGGTGTATTCTACATTAAGGTGAATCTTAAATCCAGTTTTACTCTTGAATGGCCTTTTACAGAGGGAACAGTGAAAATCCGTGGATTGTAAGGATGACTTATTTGCAGTTTCATTTTCAATTTCCGGAGTGCCAAAGTGAGGCAGAAAAAACTTCCCCGGGTTTGATGCCATATTTCTGATTTCGGTTGATGTACTTGGTATTTGTGAGAGAAATAATGACTCCACATTAGTAGATTTCTTGTGAGCTTCGTGTACCTAATCTTCAGATAAAAAGGAATTTTCTTCACTTAAGACCAGCTTTCTTCAAAACCCTAACGACAACAGGCAAAATTTTTATCGAGATCCTGTTGTAACCGACAGTATTACTCAAATATTTTTAACAAATCGGTTTATCTTAATTTATTTGTCAATTTTTTTGATTTGTGGACCTATATCGTGGCTTGTATGCATATTCATATTGTTCAATTTGGAAAACATTTGGACAAACATTTATAGGTGGGTTTCTGCCAAAATAACATGTTACACTTGGTTTATTGTTTATAGGTCTGTGCGAGAATTATCTCGACACTAAATATTTTATATAAACGGCATAGCTTTTGAAACAGCCAACCTTAACAATTTTTGTTTCAGACAGAAGTGAGAGGAAAACTGTAATCTCTAATTATAATCAAAACGGCACAACTTTTTTTTATATTGATATCCTCTCCGAACAACAATAATAATAAATAAGATACATAGCATTGAATGTTTTAGATGGGGCAACGCGATACCTTTTTATAAAATGTTTTATTACTGTAATTATCGAATTAACTAATTATATAAGCGGTTACGTATATTTGGAGTTTTAAATGTGGTTAAAAATAGTAAATGTAAAGCTATTGAGGGTTGAATCTTAATTAAGCAATAACTAAAATCGCGAAGAACTGTGAAATGTAATTAAATTAAAAGTAACACAAAAAATGCGCCCTTGACTTGTCAAAATCGACACACCCTCTGACTGTTCAATACGCCCAAGCATTTTTAAACGAGCGTAGTTTTTAATTTATTTATCTCCCAAAAAAATTAACATAATGCTCTGCTCTTAAGATCGTAGAATCCGATAGAAGAACACTAAAGGATATATTACACGGCAAGAGCATTATATTCTGGTAAGGCGCGCTCGGCACTCGTTCGCGTTTCTTTAATATATATTTTTAACAACCAGGTTTGTGAAAGTTATGTGGAAAATTGAGATGGTTAATCAGTTTATAAACTTAAAATTGACGTACTTCCAATGCGTATACCACCGTAAAAATTTTATGTTCTTAATTTAGTAATTAAATTTTTCAAGTCATGCGAGGATTAACTTTATAGATTCAATAGAAAATCAAAATTTATTGCTGTGAAAAAACTGAAGTTTTTACGAACACGATTTATGGCAATATTTTGGAGATTCTCTGACTGCAACAATTACCTACTGTCGCAAACTGATGGTTACCGATTCATTCGTACGCGTGGTACATATCGTGTAATAATAAGTGAGAAACACAATTGCAGAGGTAATTACAAATAAGCGCCGTCATTATCAGGAAATTAACTGTCTGTTCTTTTGGTTTATTTTCACGAAGACATCGGAAGGCATCAACTGACAAAGAAATCGCAAATTTGCATTCATTAACTGCGAGAAAATTTCACATTATTTCTTGATCTCACCATCCATGGCCTAAGGCATTTTAATTTCATACAATCAAATGTGAGGCAAAAAAAATAATAAACTGTAAATACCAATCTTAACTCTAAAGAAATCTAGTTAACAGTTATTCAAGGACTTGGGTTCCAAGCGGTCAATAAGTTTCGATTGTATTCCTTATAAGATCAATTTGAAATACTTGATACACAAAAATAAATTCTCTCTTCAACGACACAAAGCCGATTTCGTAAATTAGTTTTAGATAGCGAATATGGTAATACTGCGGCCAAATTTATCATTTACAACGAAAACCACTCATAACGGCTCTTAATGGATTCATTTACTAGCCTATTAAAAATTGGTCCTCCAATTTTTGCAATCACTAATTTTCTATTCTTTCAGGCACTAAGTGGATTCCTGATGATGATGACTCAAAATGGGAAGCTTTTATATATTTCTGATAACGCCGCAGAGTATCTGGGTCATTCCATGGTGAGTGTTTTGAAGGTGAGCGAACTTTTTAAGCTTTAGGGCTTGAGAGTGAGCTTTCAATTTTTAATGATAGATTAGTGACGATATGTAAAACAGACATAAGTAGGTATACATTGAAAAGAGCGATTAGGGGAAATATTTGCAAACTATAAATGTTTTAGTGAAAATTGGGCCTGAGGAAAGCGCCGTTTTCAGCGTTCTTCTCCTACTTTAACCATGCGTTTTTAAGGTAAAATGGCCGTAACGAGCAATAACAGCCAATACAGATCGGTGGCTGGAAAAATTGTTTGCGGTAGTTGGAAATGGGAAAACTTTTGCTGCTATTCCGTGTATACTTTAATTCAAACTCATCGCATATGGTATTAAAACAACAAAATTCTTGAATCCCATTTTGTAATTATTTATTGTCAGCTATTAAGAAAAAGGTTCGCACCAAGCATCGCTTCTATGATATTATGAGTTGAGAATCTTGGATACGCGTGCACCTGAAGGAAGAAGAAGAAAGTTTATTTTTCCAAAGCACAAAAAGAAACAGAAAGAAAGAAGTAAAAAATTATACATTCAAATTGACAATTTTTTTCTTACAATAAAATAAAATTAGTAGGTAGGTACCTCCTTAACATTGTAGTATGGAAGTTACCCACAGATATTGTATGGAATGTAGTGATGGTGGACAAGATCCCATATTAGAAGGTACCTAAAGGCAAAACGACTATACAACTTAAAGAAAAAAATATGCCAATTAAAAACAATCTTGTGTGTGCTTGTTGCCGGATAAAGTACTGCAGATAATTAATAACAATGATCATATGTCATATGTGAAGACGAAAAAATTTAGTTTATTTAAATAAAATTTCGCTGGTGTCAAAACGGTTGGAGATATCGGTTTGAAAGTTTTAGGACTTAAATGAGATGTGTTTGTGCATCTTTCGAAATTGTAAATAATACAACAAAAATTGTTCTCTTTTTTTGAGTTCCACTATATTTTTAAATTTTACTCTTTAGTTTATTACAAATTGTATTACATCTTCTTTCTAGAATTTGAATCGATAAACAATCTACAAAACAGTTTTCGAATTATTTGGTTAGGTTTTTCTAGGTAGTTATTTAATAATTTTTGCGTAACCGTATTTTTCCTATTGCATATTCGTAATGAAAAAAAATAAGCTTTCCAACGATGTGTTGCAAGACCTATGTTACCACTTAAAAAAAACATAATGGCGGGCGTATCAAAAATCATACGGGACAAAAATTTGCTTTTCATGCTAGAAATATGCACAAACACATCTCATTTAAGTCCTAAAACTTTCAAACCGATATCTCCAACCGTTTTGACACCAGCGCTTTTGTTCCATCTTTATTAGCCACTCTATATATCTTACAGGCAATATTTGTAAATTATGAAATAGGGGAAATGCAGGCTTTCTAATTTTCGCACCTACTATAATCTTAATAATTTTTTTTTGTTATAAAAACTGAACAAATCGTGGAAATACGTCCCTTTTGAGTGAACTATAGAGTAATACAGAGTCGTACGAGCAAAGCCGCTGTAACAATCGGAAGTCGGGAGTTTGCATGCTGAGTCGGAGGTTGGCCGAATGGGAGTGAGTATGTGAGGCTTCTTTTCGCAGATTTTTTGGATGGGAAATTGGAATACGAACACGAGAAGTTGTTTTGAGAATGCGAGAAGTTCCACATCGAACAAAAACGTCTGTTATATAGACTATAGTATGGCTGTAGATTGGTAGATCATCCGAGGTCAAGGGAATTATGTGATATTTATCTCCATATACTTCGTACTAATTCATTTAATTTGACATTCAGCCATTAGTCCAGAAGGTATGAGTGTTAGACCTTGCAAAAAATGCAAAGTTTCTGAAACTTTGGTATTGTAACGTAAATTTAATTACGTCGTTCATTTATTTCCAAATAATTAACACTACATTTATAACAGTATTGAAATGAATAAATTTATCACAGTAAAATATTATTTACCACTTACGAATACCCAATTTATCACAACGCGTCGTAATTGGAACTGAACTGGGTCTGTGGGTCATAATTCGATTTGCTTATATGCAAATCCCCTCTTTCGCGATAGTTGTCGAACGTTTCCGAACACTTCCGAACCTTTCTAGAAGTTAACAGTAAATCCGACACACAATATTGTACTCTGTAAAAATGAAAGGACCTAAAATATACTTTTATATTGAAAAAAAAATTATTTTGGTGGAATAGATTCCAAGCTACGGAGCTTTGAAGGCTAAAAATTCCAAAATTGAGAATAAGTTTGATATTTTAATCTGTTGCGAGTTACCATTGGCAGGGTTAAAAAAAAGTGCCTGACGTTCTGAGCAGAGCACAAGTAATATCCTCAGCAACTAGTATTAATACATCAGTCATGAGATATTTTAATATGTATTACACATAAACATATTTTTTCTTAAATAAAGTACGCACCTTCTTCTTCTCCATAAGGAGTTGAGGTGATGTCAAATAACAACTACAGCTATACATAGCTGAAAAACAACAATGGCGACGTTTCTTACATCCCCAAGAACATATGTACCTACCTACCAATTTTCAAAACGATCGGATGTTTCTATACATCGTTATCGTGCACACGGACAGACAGACAGCAATAAAAATTATAAACGATCTCGAGGACCGCTAATACATACACTCTTTTGCAAATTATAGACATTTTTGTGGGAATTTGGAACAAATGCTGTAAATATAGCAAGAATATCTACATCCTCACCCGTTACAGCCACGCGGATATTAAGTTAAGATTGTACGCGTACAAAATTCTACAGCAGGCGCTATTTTTAAGCATTTTTCCAGATTTTAGAATTCCTAACTTCAAGGCTCCATACCTTGGGATCTATTCCATCAAAACAAATCATATCTTTTTTAAATAGAAGGAAACTTTAGGTACTTTAATTTTTATGAGTACAATTTTGTGCCGGATACACAATTTCAAGGATTTTTTTCCACCCCCTGAAGTTATCACCACGAAATTTTGTTGGAAAAGTAGTTCTACTAAACACCACCGAACAACATACCAAAGTTTCAGAAACTTTTTTTGCAATTTTAACCTATGCTGACTGAATGAAGATCAGATTCTTTTTTTGATCACGTTTTTAATGTATTTTAATTTTTTTTGTTTTTGTTTATTTTATGATACTTTTAAGGCTGTAAATAGTACGAAGATTAAATTAATTTTTTTTTAGTTTTGCATTCAAATAGTTAAAATGGTATTAAATTAGTTCCATTGCAGTTAATTCATTCACAGGATCAACCAAGGTACCAGATACTCTTACAAGAACAAACCTTGAAATTTGGAACGTTATTTGGTACGTGTGGGTGGTTATGTAATTGTTATTGACTAAAGCGACATTTGCGAATTACGTTTCCATTACTAAACTTGCACAAACAACATTTTGTCGTATCTCTAACAGTTAAACGAGATATCCGTATGAGAGCTAAAATTAAACGGGATGTATTTCAAGCCTAGAAGGCCGATTACTTTGTCACTATATTTGTATTTTGGTCTTTCTTGAAATTGGTACGCATTTGTGCTTGCATTTCCCGCTATTATTCTTGATAGGATTTCTTTATTGATACCTGAAGCTCTGATTTTTTCGCCTTCATGGAAATTGTTATCTGTCGATGCCAAAGTTAATTTTGTTCGCATCTGGACCCCATAAGTCGTTTTCCCAAGAAAATCGGTACATCAATAGCGATTTTGACATTTTTGGAGCAGAAATATGTTGATTGCCAGAAATACAGATGAACCACTTCTTGGGCATCGAGCAATCGAGTTTAGCATTTTTCCCAAGAAAAGATCGATTTTGCATCTTTTCGGCAAAAATATTTTGCCCGCCATAAATACACATAGACCATTACCACCACCACCATAGTAACCATTACTTACTTTGAACAATTTCTCGCACAATGTGAGGTTGGACATCAATATCTTTCGACCTGTTGTGAAAAACCCATGGGTTTTTTCGAAAATATTATTGCTCCATTGTTATCGCAGAATAATACTTCCTTGACTTTTTGCTCAAATCCGAATTCCGTAATAAATCGACCAATGTTAGGTATACGCTTTAGATATCTGAGTAAGTACCCGCTTCGAAACTAGCCGATGTACCTTGGTGTAACTGGAGATGTTCTTGTCTTGTAGACGTTGCCAAATACTTACATCAATTATCCCACCAGTTCCGTGTCCGACTTCCAACTTCTTATAGCCTGGTTCCCAACGCTGGGTCCCATCGCTTGGGTACAATCCTCATATTCGTGACTCCCCTGACTGCATCGATCGTTACACCTTTACTTGAACCTTCTTGGAGATCCTTGAAGTTTCGATGGCGTTGTCACTCGTGCTACCGAATTACATTCGTTCGTTCTTTCTTTAATTATGTAAAGCTCGTTGAATCTCTTCGCCTGAAGGATCAACTTTTCAGTTTTCTTGTGGACGATCTCTGCGGTTTTGTCATGGAACATGACCGTTATCACCTTGTCTGTGATTTTTGCCACATATAGGTGGTTGGTTCATTCGCAGATCTGGAACGTAGAACGTCTTGAATTTTGACGTTCTTGACTTTTCCGTCAAAATCCGAATGAATCTCCACTGTTCCTCTTTCTTTGATCTCCGTCGACGAATTACTGGCGAATTATAACTTCCCTCCATTTGTATTCTGTAGTTTCGACACCTCATTAAAAATTTATAACCCACCGATGGCAATCATAGAGTAATATTTTATCAATTTTCAGGACGTGGTTGTCGGCGCGACCTTCAACTTCCAATAACCTGTTAAGAACCGTAAAAAACCTAAAAGAACCGAAAAAAGTAATATGGGTTTCGATTTTCAGTACGTTTCCATTTCTGAAGGAATAACAGTTTCGGTTCGGTTTTCGGTCCAGAAAAAAATACCGGGTTCGGTCCAGTTTTCGGTTCTTGTTCGGTCCGGTCCGGGTCCCTGGGTATTACTACTTCAGAATACATCGTTGTAGCTTGAGTTATTTTTCTTCCCTTTTAGTTGGAAAATTTGACCATGTGCCCTAACTTTCCACATCGGTGGTACTTTTAGGGAAATTCCTTCTTTTCCTTTTCATTTCTCGAAATTCTTCTTTGCGACCATTGCGTTGTGAACTCCTGTTACTGTAGGGTACTTCTTTGAATCTCGACACTCAGTGATCTTCATTTGCAGTTCCTCGGGGCCCGGCAGTGTGTCCTGAGACTCCATCGTAGAAACTCGAATCTTTGTAGTCGAGAATAAACTTTAGGACCATGAAAGATGCTATGCACTGGAATTTTTTATAAGAATTTGCGTTCCTCAACCTGGAAAACTTTGAAAGCGATATCCTGTATCTACACCAGCAACTTTCACAAATTTTGATCAAACAAATAAGAATTTACTTTCAGTCACGGAACCGCTTTGGCATTATATTAACAGATTGACAAGTTTTCAGAATAGCCACACAGAAACGCTAGAGAAATTGTAAACGCGTAAGATCATCCTTTTGTAATTAGAATTAGTCATTTAATTGTGCATGACATACGGACGCAACATGCTCCAATCATAAATGTCGATGAAATCACCCAAAGAACAGCGTACAATACAACTCTTTTGCTTTGCTAAATATGTAAAAAAAGACTCCACTGGAAGTGAGAAAAAAAATAATATTTCCACTTTACAAAATGGTTACTTAAAGTGCTATGTTTTTATTATAAATAACACATTACCACTTCAGATTTTATTAATTATTTATTTCACCGGTTTAAATTAATTTACAAACTAGTGGTTAACAAACAGAAACAAAAGGATAGCAATAATAGTATTTTTAGTTTGAAGTATGAAGGGTTTTTGGAATCATCAAAATGAAATGGCCAACTGTGGCGTGTTGAAAAATCGGTAAACTTTTAACAAGGCAATAAATGCATTAAAAATCTACTTCCTAACGTACGGGGGTTAATTTAATAATACCGCTATGCATAATTTTGGTGTGCACGGTTTTGTAAATCGGCCAAAAGTGAGTACGAAAAAGTACCTTACAAATATAATTTGTAACGATTCTCAAATTAAAATCATTTAATATTCAATGAATTCTTAATTAATATACATATTTTCTTCACATTTATTCAAATAAGGCTTAATTTAAACGTCGTCTTGTAATCATGTATTTAAAATTGGCGACCAGGTTTGTCATCATCTCGAATGAGCCAGCAATTTTTTACACTCTTCAAATTGATGTATACAAAGAGACTACAATTAGATTAAACGCGCATTAAACGAGGCGGTCACTATCTTTATCTTTTTTTTCTGTTTTTCTGTAGGAAGATCTTCTCATTCATGGTGACAGTGTGTATGATATCATAGATAAGCAGGACCACCAGGCGATACAATGCGAGTTAGGCAGACCAATCAATTCTGGAAGCAATGGGAGTACTTGCGAAGAAATTAGGGTATTTTTGTGCCGGATGAACGTGTCCAGAAACGCCCGCCGTCAAATGCGATTCGGGGATCAAAAGGTAAGTTGCTTCATTTACATTTCAAAAAAGAATGGTAAATGGTAGGAAATTATGCGAGTCTACGCAGATTTCTTTGTGGAATTGATTGTGCATGCCGGATCTGCCTTTCACTATGTAATAACCTCACTCGTTTTCCCCTCGATCCGATCAGCATCAACACCAATGAATCCACCCACACCTTTATAGTAACCGTAGGTACGTAGACGTAGTTGCAGCTACCTAAATACCGTCGGTGGTACATACCTATTTGCAAAGCAATGCAACAATTATTTCATTTCCCTTTAAAATTTGAAAAACGTTACTTCCCAGATCAAAATGCAGCTTATTGTTTAAACTGTACAACCTTTTCTCTGTGTTTCGAAATGCCAACTTCACTATACGGTTGCCCTCACATAGATTTCTTGTTCAAGGATTAAAAAGAATTGGCTTACACATTTCTCCTGCTGGGTTTATCAGACGTTCTCAACAAATCCAGTCTAACCTTTCGCAATTATTCGTTACACTTAGTATCCTTAGATTGCATTTTCGATTTTACAACTGAATAAGAATGACAGATACTTTTTTTAAATAAGTAGATCGATGCGTGATGTGCCTACACCAAAGTGCTAAATTCCTTGAATTACATACATAATTCCGTCCTGTGATCAAAATGAGTAATAATTCCCACTCTATTTTCTTAAAGATTTCCAATAATTTCAATTCTAAGCGATTAATAACCAAAACCGCTTGACATTGCATCGAACTGTTGCAATCTTATGGGGTGTAGAATAGATACACAGAACATAGGGGCGTTAAAAATGTAATTGTTACGTGTTCATTTACAAAAGGTATTTTACCCCCTTGAGTTTGGCTATTTCACGCCTTCGCACTTTGGCCCTTGGATTTATTGTGCGTGCCCCAGAATCTGAGGATCCTCTTCGGCTGTAACTTTCTGATCCGCTGAGGTGCTAATGTGCTATTGCACCCTCATCAAAGTCTTGTGATTTTGCTCACACCAGCAGAGGACGTGTTTCGCTGTCTCTTCCTTGTAAAGGCAGAGGCGACATGTGTTATCCTTAGCTACCCCGATTTTGTAGAGATGATATCTCAGAAGACAGTGTCCGGTGACCAAGTCTATTTATGACCTTAGTTCACTCCGCTGAGTAAAAAAGTATTACAAAGAGGACTTAATTCGGAAGATCTCATTTTGCTAAAATTCTTGTAGCTACTTATAACAAGAAATTATTATTAGATTCTTGGATAGGTGTTGAGAATACTATAAGTAATGGTGCTAATTATTTTTCCTTTAATTTTAATTTAGTTGCGGTAACGCTTACATGCTCAATTTTCCGTCGTCTGTTCCTTCGAGATCCCGGCTGCTGGGCCACCTAGAGACGTCGGGTTTTCGATCATTGATAGCTGGGTCTATATTTTCCCACTACTCATCATTTATATTTGTTTTCCCTTCAAATTCATTTCAATTGCTATTGAAGCTTTCCTCAAGTACCTCTCGGGTTCTCAAGTTCCCTTCATGTTACCAATATTGTTCTTACGCCTTTTTAAGTTTCTCTAGTTGACCCCAAGATTGCGAAATCTTTACCGCAAGTGCCCATCAATGCCCAAAAAAGTCCACTTATGTTTTTATTAAATTATTCTTTAGTTTTCACCAAATCCTAAAGTGTTGTGCAAGTTATCTCAAGCTTTCGCAATTTCCTGATAAATGTGGTTCAAGTTCTTTTCTATAGTTCAGCTTTGTTTCCCCCTCTAATTCCAAGACAATTATTCTGTTCAGGTTCCTATAAAGTTTTGCTCAATTTATCTTCAAGTTCTCTTCATGTTCACCTCCGAATCTCGTAATAAGACCCTCTTAAATTTATTTCCCCTCCTCCTCTTTCAATTCATAAGCCGCTCTCGCGGGTCCTAGATCACTATAATATTTTGGGTGTTTTTACGGAATCTCATCAAGTTATAGTAAATTGTCACTTGAACCGTTCCTAACATGCGTGCTCAATGTTATTTTTGAGTAATTGTACAATATTGAGTGCGGCATATTTATTTATGGAGCCAAACATTTACTGACAACCGCCCTTACAAAACTTTCCAGACCGGGAACTTTACGGATTACCCGCCCGACCCGACCACCGCTGTTCTACAACTTAATAACTATAGAGAAAAGTCCTTTAGTTTGGAGGAAGACTAAACAATTTCGAGCTTTAGATTAGTTAGTCACATTTTGACAATCAATAGTAGATAATATTTCAGTTTACCCAATTGCATCTTTGCATATTACATTATTATCAGTTTCATACACAGAACTGGAATCATACCACCAGATTTTACAAAATGTGTAGTTGTTCCCTTGCCTAAGACGAACACGGCTAAAAAATGTGGACAGAATCCCTCACGCCTCAATTATTTTGAGAAGATTACAGCCTAAAATCGAAGTTGTGCTATCAGAGGAACAGTATGGGTTTAGAAGAAGATTGACTGATTCTATTTGCTGTAGAAATATTTTCGACATTTGAAAGTGCAAAAAAATAAAGCAGGTTTCATTTGAAAAAATCAACTTTTTAAGGTTTGAAGTTATTAAAATTAACCATTAGTTTTACAACACCCTGTAGAAGAGCGATCAAAATTTAAATCATTCTCATGTAGCATCAAGTCAGTATTGTTGATTTTGGAAGACTTTTTGAAAATCAAACCAACGGAGTCACAGGTACAGAGCCCTATAGATAGAACAGCAGACAAAAGTAGATTTCGAAAATGTTTGAATTGAATAGATGAAAAGTGTCTCATATTGGATTCAGTTTTTAAGAAAGTAGGTACGGGGCCGTGAGGTCGCTATCTTGCAGCACTGCCTAACTCATTGCACCATCGTAAGACGAGGGGGTCGACACGTCCCGACGTCGTATATAAACTCAAAAAAAATTCGAAACTAATGCGTTAACCAACTAAATAATAGCTTTTAGAATACAGTACGTTTTTTTAATGTTGGTAATCCTTCAGTATTCAAGGATCTCTTTGTCTTTGTAATATGTACTTTCGACTTTTGTTCCGATAAGTGGTTTGTGAACATTTTAATTGACAGCTGGGGTTACTAAACGACCCTTCCTCCTGCCACTAGAGTGTATAAGGTTTTTGAAATTGACCCATTTGACGGTATTTACAGACCCACCGTGAAAAACACGCTGACTTAAATGTCTTATCGACTTATGGTACGACTGTTTTAGGAACATAACGACATACAATTATGTATGAAGCAAACAAACTCCAAAGGAGTTCTTTATGTTAAGTTTGGGGATCTTGAAGGTTAGCGGAGAAAGTGTTGCAGTTTGGTACCCGAATTTAATTTTTGAAAAAATATATTGGATAGCTAGATATCGTGCAAAAACAATTTTTTTACTTTACTCTTTCGACGTCTCTCACTTTTTCACTATATGGATTTGTAAAGAAAAAAGTTATGAATAATTACCTGTGTGCTTCTTCCTTGTCAACCTTTCTCCATTGTCCTATTAGGAGGTTTTGGCACATGCCACGCTTGTCGAGCGGGTTGGCGTGTTTGTAGGGTTGGGGTAAGGGGTAGGAAAATGGTAAGATTTTGGTGAGGGATTTAAGGTATGACAATGGTTTCCCCTGTGTGGTATTAAGAGATCAACCACGGCTCGCGGAGGCAGGGGCGCATCCCTGAAGTAGATCTATCACCTATAGGGATCATAGATGAGTATCTACCCGCTACCTTAATTACGTACTTAACATCTCGGAACCAAATTATTCACTTCAGTTATGGTTTTAAGGTACGCCGCAAACTATTGTATAAAATAAAAGAAGAGGAAGCTATCATTTGTCTACTACTAGTTATAATTTTTGCTTTACCTACACCACAGATTAAGTGCCTACACATTTATTCTAAGTACCTATCATAAGCTATAGATATGTATAAGAAATCAGTAAAATAAATTGATTCATAACGCGAAATAGTCTAGGCGATAGAGACTGTAAAATTGGCAAACTGGACATTTTGAGGTGGAAAAGAAAAAATGGTGGAATACGTTCAGTTAGGTGTCAAAAACAACATATTAAAAATCCCACCCTCCAGACCCTGTGCTAAAGGCTCCACCCACCCCACCATCCCCCAAAAACCGTGTTTTTGCTCTTTTTGGCTGATATCTCGCGATCTATGTGGTCTATATGAAATATTTTTAGCTGAAAATATTCTCGGGAAATTTCATACAAGGTAGATACTCAGAAGTTAGCCTAGGAAATTCATAAAAGCGGCGAAAATCATCAATTTTCGTGGCTTTGGCCAAATATATCGCGACCTTTAGGGCTAGATGAAATATTTTTAGCTGAAAATGCTCCTCGTGAAATTTTTTACAAGGTAGATACTCAGAAGTTAGCCTAGGTGTACCTCTTAGCCTAGAAAATTCATAAAAAGAGGCGAAAATCATCATTTTCGTTTTTTTTGCGGTTTTTTGCAAATATATCGCGACCTTCAGGGCTAGATGATATATATTTAGCTGAAAATGCTCTTCGTGCAATTTCATACGAGATAGGTAACTGAAGAGTTGGCGTAAAGTCACCTTTCACCTTCAACTTTCATGTGTGAGGAAATATTCATTGTAAGTATTTCTATGTACCATTTATTCACGTAAAAACAGTATTTTCATAACAAAATATTCACACATTCATTTATACCTCAACGTAATCATTACCCTTATACTTATCCAAATCAATTCGTACTTTTTCGATCAGACTTCTTAATCAAAAGTTATAGACTAGAAACCAATTTGAAAAAAATTCAAAGGGCTGTAACTTTTGAACTAGTAGCCCAATCTTGGAACTGTTTGAAATTATGGATTCTACAGGCCACATTCTATAAGAAAATTTTGTTTCCGGGTCGATCTGAGACAATTTTTTTTCGGGGCTCAAAAAAAGGCAGTGTATAACCTTCCTTTTTTACCAAAAATCGACTACACCAAAATTTCTCGGGAAAACACCTTTTCTTATTAATTTGGGTGCGTAGAATCCAAATCAATTCGTACTTTTTCGATCAGACTTCTCAATCAAAAGTTATAGACTAGATGCAGATTCCACTTCTTCAGGCTCTTCGACGTCCTCTAGTGGTAGTGGGTCGTCTGAGATTACCGACTCGTAGTTCTCGTCTTCCGCTTTACCTGATGCATGGGTACCCTGAAGAGACGACGTGGCATTTAGGCACGATGCTCCATGACACTGGACGCAGAGTTCATTACACTTCAGACCTACAACAAGAAGCATATTATGTCAAAAAAATGTTTATAAATATGTATACGATTCTCTCGTGTGTCCTAAGTGTCCGGTAGAGAAGGTTTACCTGATTTCCTGCAACTGTTTCAGAAAATCAGGTAAACCTTCTCTACCCGACACTTAGGAGTTAGCACACACGAGAGAATATTATATTCGTATACTTAATTATAAAATTTTTTTGACATAATACTTCTTGTTGTAGGTCTGAAGACCGAATTCTGCGTCCAGTGACATGGAACATCGTGCTTAAACGGGACGTCGTCGTTTCAGGGTGCCCATGCAGGTAAAGCGGAAGGCGAGGAGAACTACGAGTCGGTAATTTCAGACGACCCACTAGCACTAGAGGACGTCGAAGAGCTTGAAGAAGTCGAATCTGCAGAGGATAATGATTACGTTGAGGTATAAATGAATGTGTGAATATTTTAATATGAAAATACTGTTTTTACGTGAATAAATGGTACATAGAAATACTTTGTTTTACAATGAATATTTCCTCACATGAAAGTTGAAGGTGAAAGGTGACTTTACGCCAACTCTTCAGTTACCTCTATCTCGTATGAAATTGCACGAAGAGCATTTTCAGCTAAACATATATCATCTAACCCTGAAGGTCGCGATATATTTGCAAAAAAACGCAAAAAAACACGAAAATTGATGATTTTCGCCTCCTTTTATGAATTTCCTAGGCTAAGAGGTACACCTAGGCTAACTTCTGAGTATCTACCTTGTAAGAAATTTCACGAGGAGCATTTTCAGCTAAAACTATTTCATCTAGCCCTAAAGGTCGCGATATATTTGTAAAAAGCCACGAAAATTGATGATTTTCGCCTCTTTTATGAATTTCCTAGGCTAAGAGGTACACCTAGGCTAACTTCTGAGTACCTACCTTGCATAAAATTTCCCGAGAAATATTTTCAGTTAAAAATATTTCATATAGACCTCATGGATCGCGAGATATCAGCCAAAAAGAGCGAAAACACGGTTTTTGGGGGATGGTGGGGTGGCTGGGGCCTTTAGCACAGGGTCTGGGGGGTGGGATTTTTAATATGTTGTTTCTGACACCTAACTGAACATATTCCGCCATTTTTTTCTTTTCCACCTCAAAATGTCCAGTTAGATGACTTTATCGCCTAGAACTAAAAGTAGCAACGTGTCTTTTTTTGAAAACCGTTGAAGGTACAATACAAGAAAATCTTGGTGGGACAATTGTAAAATACTTCTTCTTTGCGGCGTGCTTTAAAATAAACTGAGATTTAAAAAAATGAAAAGTAACTCAAGTTAATAATTTATCTCTGTTAGAATTATCATCACGTGTAACATAAGATATTGATTTTCTGTACTATTTTTAAGAAAATAGGGTTGTTGGAGTCGAAGCTTCTGCAACTCGTCAACTATGAACGGCTGAGTGCATTTTTCAAAAGATGAAATCGCATTCCAAACTCATCTACCTATTGCTGAAAATAAAAGGCTCAATGACTCAATCGTTTTCGCACTAAAAAACGGTTTAAAAAAAGTTTTTCGATTGGCGTAGATATTTTAGAACCAGTAAAATTCCAATATACTTTATAAGACCACCGTCGTTTTAAGATTGCACATTACATACCTATCATTATATAGGTAATATGTAAAATAGGCGGAGGCGCGAATACTACTGCCGTATGTTATGACGCCCACTCGGTAGAAGAGCGCGAACTTATGGAAATGGTCCTTATTTGAATACCAAAGCGCCACTGTTTTATGCTTATCTTGCAGGTGGTGTTGGTACAGGGCCGGTACTTGTCCTTCTTGCCATTATGCAGTCGCAACGAGCCCGTATTCTTGGCCACCTGCACCCCCGTGGCGATGCCGGAGACTCGGGAATGCGTGGTGCAAGGCGCCACCAACGTCTTCACGTCGATCCACTCTATGGACATGCGTTTCATCCACATTGACAATAAGTGAGTATGCAGCTTTTGTTCTTCCTCGCAATAAATCAACGACCGCGCTCGTGATAGCCGGGCGGTCCAGGTCACCGGGTCGCGAGAGCCGCAGTGACATTGTTTACTATAAATTTTCATTGTTATAATTTTGTTCCAGTGGCGAATTCTACTTAGGCTTCCCCCTCAGCGACCTTCAAGGAGTATCCTGGTACAGGCTGTTGCATTGGGACTGTACTAGGGAAGCGCAAACCAAGCATAGGCTCAGTAAGTGTAATTTATTCATCTTTCCTGTTTATTTCATGGATGTTTGTTTAGTAACGCAATCTGAACAAGAACGGTCTTGTATCCTGTTAGCTCAATTTCAACGACGGTCCGGTGAATGGTTGTGGATGCATTGCGTCTTGCAAGTTAAAGAAAGTTCCGAAAGTAACCAACAGCCTGTCATAGTGTGCACTAATCAAGTACTAAGTGATTCGGAAGCGTCCGTTATGCGAAATAACAGTTGGCTTTACCATTACTATTCGGTACAAAATAAATTACAGTACGGGCTAGCATACGACGTAGCGCCCACAACTAGGTTATTATATTATCCTGAGCATCCTCAACCGGAATTCACAAGCAGTCACGAACCCACTGGATACGCTCATCTTTCTGCAATGCCCGGTAGCCTACAACCTCACGTTACACAGCACAGCTCTTCTTCACATCCACACCACAATCAACACCATCATCAGCATCGACGAGCAGATCCGGAACCAGTGGATTATTCATACAGCAAAAGAAAACCCAAAGATCTTCAAAATCTTGAGTTAGATGTTGCCAATATAAATACTACCGAAGTTGACAGTGGAAGTGGAAGTTTACTTGTGATAACCCATTCAACGGAACGTCCGAGGACTCTCTTAAAAATTGACCCTAGTGACCTTATCGAACACTGGAATCCAAGTCCTCCATGGTCCGACACCCTTCAAAAAGTCCCCGACCTATGCCACCAAGAACTTAGCCCGTATATAGGAAGCGCCCCTCCCACGCCTACCACAACTCCTAGCACGCATTCAGGAAACGCGTTCCCTTTCGACTGGATGCCAGAGCAATCTGTTCCGAGCATGACGATTGTAGCGACGTCGATAGAGGATTCGGACGGTCAAAATTACTGGCCGAGTGAACATCGCCTATTCCCCTTACAACCTCCGCCTAAACGTAATCATCCACCTCCGAGAGGATCCGAAGCAACGGATCGTGATACCCCTTAGCGCTGTGATTAAATACCTAACTTAATTGTATAATCTAAGTGCAATACTATAGGGGCTCTTATTTATTTGAAATCAAAGATACTGGGTTAATTTAAAAGTAGCTACCAATGATTCCTATTATGTGTTCAAGTCGTGGCCAATTTAAATAGTTTTAGCAATAATGGTTCCTGATCATGGTAAGTATTCTATTATGTTTAAATGCTTTATTGTTAATATGGGCCAGAATTTACAATGTGTAAAATATTCCTAATAGTGTACTATCGCATGATGCTCTATGCTATTCCAAATCCTTATAGTGGAATGCAACCAAGCATACTTTTCTGAGTCATTTCTTTCAAATTCTAATGAGAAACGCTTTACTATGACACATGATTATTTTTGGACAGAAGTAGATAGCTGCACTGAGAGATTGTACACTGACGAAAAAATGTTGGAATGCGCCTGGGCTTTTCTAGGCTGAGCTGTGCAAAGGTTTGGGTTATAAAGCCTTAAAATAATTTTAAATCCAAAGACTTCAAGCTGCTTCTAAAAAAAGACATCTATACAAAATTTTGGAGTTTATTTCCTTGGATTTTTACCGTTTTAAGTTTTTATAATTTTATAGCTGCTAAGGAAATACCAGGAAATCCACCGACGGGTGCGTTAGTGAGTCATAGGATAACAGGAACTCATTTCAAAATCACAATTAGGATGGGTTGTAAATCAAAATTTCAAAAACAACAGGGAAATTTGGGGAGTAGCTTAACCAGGATAATTTCGTTACGTATTTGTTTAAAGGATTTCATTTCCAGTTCTACGCATAGCACTTCAATTACTTTCAAAAGGGCTTACTTTTTTAAAAGAGCTTGGTTCTGAAATTTTACCTGATAATTTACAATTTTTTTTTCAAAGACTTTTGAAATGAAATTCTATGGTTTTGTCAAAACACATTAATCTTCTAAAAATGTAATATTTGTTATCTGTAAATTTAGGTATCTCAACGTCATATTGGAATAGGAATTTCCAACCCCCCAGTTTATTTGAAAAAGAAACTCCTACATTGGGAGATTATGAAAAAAGTTTGCACTTGAGTAAAGCTATGAAAATTGGCACATATGCTCCGTTTACCCTTCCCCTTATATAGTTCCGACGGGACACCGCGCTTATTTACCCCTAGAACCACCGTTACGTACATACAACATGTTGATTACTAATGACTAGACCATTTTGTTGTTTTCTTTCTACGCTAAGCTCCGGTTATGAAAACACGTGTAGAATATTTGGGGTCCATCACTGGGGCACAGGTGAGTAGGGGTTGCCTATCCATTCAGCCGCTAACTAGCCGATTTCTATATTTCTTTGATTTTTTAGCTCCAAACTTGAATAATTAGCCACACTGTAATTAAATCAGATAACATTTTTGTGGCACTGACGGGGGTAGGTATAATCTGAGCCCTTTCAGTGCGGGTTGCCTACTCCTTTGAGTACTGCTAAGCAGCTACGTAATTTACGGTTTATATGACGAGCTTCTCGCCATGCGCAAAACGGGTAAATAATGCTTAACTGGTAATTAGGGGGGATTAACTCCAGGAGTTATTAATAATATATAATTTATTCCCCATAAAACAAAATCAAAACTCTACAAATAACACAAATGAAAACAGGGAAAGGGACTGCATTCAGTGCCGAGAGACCCTATTAAGCCCTGACTCCACTTTTGCGCATGGAGAGAGGGGATGTGTGGCTAATTATTCTAGTTTGGAGCTAAAACACTGAAACAACCAAACAAATATAGAAATCGGCTAGTTAGCGCCTGAATTGATATCCCCAGTGGTCAACCCGAAATATTCTAAACGTGTTTTCACAACCATGGAGCTTAGTAGAGTCGGCAAAAATGGTCCAATCATTAGCAACCAACATTTGGGCACGCAACTCCTCCTAACGGGTGTTCCAGCAGCAAACGAGCCTGGCGCCACGTCGAAACCATAATATGTACCAGTTTTCCACTAGCTACTCAAAAGTGTGAATCACACAAACAAAATTGGGTTTTTTGGATATGCTTGAAGAACAAGGCAAGATAAGTTAACAAGAAGAAAGACAAAGTAAGTATAAAACAAAGCAGCAGCAAACTGAAGTGAGGGTAAAGACACATAACTTCCGATTACAATTTGGAAAAATGCCCTGCTTTTTTGCTACTGTCCAACCTCTTGATAAACATATTACAATTTTGTTTATTAATTTGTACCTATGTTTTTCCGCAAAACTAACGTCTAAACCACCATACACCAACAGAAAATAATCTCCAATACTTTGGGTGCGATACCTGTATCATCTGAAATAATCATGCTCTTCCAGAAAAATTATGCACTAGTTTCCTTGGAAAGACGAGAAAAAAGGCAGGTCCCGACAAAATATCAAGTAGGTAATATTAAAAATTCATATGATTTATGATGATCTGTGTCCAAGATAATGGATGTCTATCATGGGGGTCTCCGACCCCATAGAAGATACGACGATGGCGAAATTAGAGAAAAGATGCGCCATTAAAGAAACCCAGAAAATTCCGATTACTTTTTTGTGCCGTACGTCATTGTAATCGTAATAAAAGATGCTACTCAATACCGTGTGTACTTTTTTTTACGAGCCATATACAAAAAATTAAATTGATGACGAGTCTCCGACACGAAACTTTGTATTGAAAATATTTCAACGGTGTCTTGTAGAGCTCAAAAAGTGACATTGAAAAAGAGTGTTTTTTTTAAATTTTTTTGTATCTGTTCAAATAACGTTTGAAAAAAATCGGCATATTTCGGTTTTTGTGGCCTATCTTCGGAAGTAATCGGAATTTTCTAGTTTTCTTTAAATAATGATAATAACTGTTTAATTGCGCAACGTTTTTCTCTAATTTGACCATCATCATATTTTGTATAGCTTCATAGATCCCTATAATAGACATTCTTATCTTGGACACAATGTACAGATATGTGTGATATTTAACGAATCCGAATCCTTCAAGCATTTTCCGCAAGAGAAATGCACCTATTGCCAAGTCTGCCTATTTGGACTGCTACTAAAATACGTAGGCACTATAATTCCCCACCACTTTTACTTTTTCGGAGGGTTTTTTCAATTCATAAATAAATAAATAAATAAAATTTTCATCAGTAGCAGTCGCAGACCATAAGGGCATTTTCTATTTGGAAACTTCAAAAAAAGGAAAGAGTTGGCTAACATTTCCCTCTGCTCGACCTAAACTTCTTTCTACCAATCACCAAAAAATTAGCTTTCGCTGCATGGATTTATAGTGTCTACTGGATTTTTTTGTATTACAAGCCAGGAAAGTATTTTTTCTTAAATTTTTCATCAGAGGTGTACTAGTGTAAAAAAGGGCAAAACAGTCAATTCGTAGATAACCTTCCTTGCTAACAAGTGTAAAGCACACAAAATAAACATACCTAGCAAATTAATGGTACAGTCAGGACAATAAATATACACGAATATTCCATGCCCATTCTGCATGCACCAAATTTACTTGCATGTGTCATAGTAAAGTATCAACCATTGATGTTAAGGTAACTCAATCAACTTCATTGCAGTACCTATTTCATATTAAAATATGCAATCCCTTGCTACTTTATTAAGAAAGATACCTACTAAACATTTTGGCCAGTTATCCAATCCCTTACTAAGTCCACACTTAAACATGTAAAATTTGTCTCTAACATTTGTGCAATTCTTAATTGTCAATTTGTGGAAAGTTAGTACACAATATACTAATACGTTATTTACAAGAGTAAATGTGATGTAATTTTACAATGAAATTACAATCGGAAGTATTACAAACTAAGAGGGCAGTTTAAATAATAGGATTCCTTAATTTATTAATAAATACTTTAAGAGATTTGCTAATTAGCTAATAGTAGTATATTTTTCCAATGTTTGATTGTACCTATACCTTGAAAAAAACTGTTGTATATTAGATTTAAAAAAGAAGATGAAATGAAAACCCCAAACTACAACAATGAAAGAGAACATTGTTAGTGATTCTTTAAAATTAGATGTGTAGATGTACATACATGGGTTTTATTTGTTGAGTTAATTTATTGAATGAAAACACAAACTGAAAAATATATTTTATAAATAATGTTTTAAACATACAAATATGTAAATTTATCAGTATTATACATTCCTATTAAATAGTTAAATAAGTCGATGATTTTCTTCTTCAGAACTAATTTTTCCATCTTTTATCCTAAAAAAACATTAAGCAAATGCAAAATTCACTAGTAAACCTACCGAATTTAGCATTCTCTCGGCGTAAGTATAGTGTTCCGAATCTCTGGAAATTTCCTGCATGTAAGACAGCAGTGCCAACCTATCTCGTTGTGATACATAATAATTTATAACAAACTGGTGGCACAACAGCTTCTTTGCCAATGATGTACTGAGTTCCGTATCCGGAATGCAAGGTAAAAATTCTTCCAATACTGAGGTAGGAGCGTTGTGTTTGTGTAAAACCGTCATAAAGAGTTGAGGATTAATCACAGATTTTATAACGACTCTTTTCGTTAGCCAAATCTGTAACAATTTCAGTAAGAGTCGCTATTGAAAATTGTGCATAATAACAACTTTGTACGTATAGAAAAGAGAGAGTGCATCTTCTTACAGAGATAAAGACAGCCTTATATTCATTCAAATTGAAGAATTTTGCTGGTGCAAGAGGAGCTAAGAGGAGAATTGGACAAAGAAGATGGAGTTTGCCTAAGCCAAAAACTTTGAAAAATGGAAAGTTGAGAAAATTTCAATGCTCCCACACCATTACCTCGTAAACTATTGATCCTATCAAAAAACGCATAGGTTCCTTGATTTTCATGTAGAACAATGTGTCTGAAATAAAATTTGAAAATAAAAAAACCAAGGTTAATGTGACACGTTGTTTGTTTGTCCTCCCTTTCAACGCCTAAAACTTACATTCTGCAGTTTTAAGAAGGGGTGTACCGGATGTGGCCTCATATGTCTAAAAGCGGAACTGAAATAGGTGCTCCTGATGATGAAATCAATGACCTACCACTAGATGTAGCACATATAGATAGACAATGTTATAATAATTTAGGTGACCAGCAGAATACGTTCCAATAACAGGAAAATGTACAAATGCACCCTGCAAAAAATCATGGCAACTCTGCAAACTGACTTTTTGAAAATACAGTTTTTGCATTTTTGCAATTTTGGAATTCCTTTATCTTGGGAACCATTGAACTAACATTACTTTGGTGATATCAAAAAACCGAAAAAAGTGTGACGATTTTGGGGTTTCGTGTTATTAATTTCAATATATTAACAAAATGCTTTAAAGAAATAGAACCAAGAGTGTTCTTACTCGACCAGCTGCCTATGCGCCAGTGGTCTTCATTTTGTTAGTTCCTCCATGCGAAAACGATACCTGCCTGAAGACATGTTTTAATAAAAGTATGGTGAATGTTATGATGGCTACCAACTGGTTCTGCTTTTTTAAGGGCCAATACTTTCGATTACTCGATTACTTGTTGGTTAATCTTAATTCCTATTAATATCATGGGTAACAATTGTTAGACCAACTAGTGATTAGACTAATCAGTTCATGACAGCATGGGCCCTAAGACGCCTTACCGGAGGAGTGGTTTTGGCTCGGCAGTTGGGTGTCCACCTAAAGAGACTTTTCATTGGTATAAATCCCCAAGGATAGATGGAATATTTCCTCCAACGGGAAATTAGCATCGTCCATCCTAAATCTAAGTAGGATGAAGAGAAATCTTGTGCCAAAGATGATCACAGGCCACTGTCGGTTGAACAAACACCTGCACAGAATGGGACTGACTGACAGACCGTTATGCAGGGGTTGTGGTGAAGAAGAAACACCACAGTACCACAGTATATCCACTGTGACGTCATTTGTCATACACAAAGACAAGGGAACGCCTACTTGGAAACGAGAAAATTACCCAAGAGAAAGTAACAAAGATTCGCCCTATCAAAATTCTGGACTTGGTTAAAGATACAGGCATTCTTGAAGGGTAGACAATACCGGGTAGCACAATAGACCAAAAGGTCAAAGTGCAGGAACTGACTGGGACTACCCCTAGTACAATAATAACAATAATAAAACGCCTTAACGTTCAAGTTATACAGGGTGATAATTTATAGCTCTAGCTGACAGAAATGATTAGATTAGGGTTAGTGTCAATTACTGCCAAGAAATTATCAATTTAAAAGACTGCCTTCCCATACGTTTGACACCGACAGTACTTACTGGTTTAATAAACAAATGCTTTAACCTTTCCCACATCTCAAATGTACATAAAGCATTTATGACAATCCACTCATATTGAAAATCATTTAAATGACGCTGCGCTCTAAAATCTATTATTTGTTTCGCACAATTGCTGCCGTCCGACTTCGTTTCCCATTGTGATTTGCACAAAAATGCCAACTCCTCAGTAAGAGTATGACAAGACAGTTTATTTTCAATTTGCCAACCTGAAAGAGGCGTGTCAACTACCCTCCCTCAAGCAGTGCTTAATGTTTACTCACCTATGAAATTTTTATACTCTGTAAACATTGCCCGTTGCTCGGAACTCATCATTTTTGAGTAATCTAGAAAGAACTTGAGTAACTTTATCTGCACTTTGTCTTTGGACATGTCTTTCTCCAACCCCGTGCCGTACACATAAACCTACAACTAACCTTTTGAAGTCTTAACGATGGGAGGTACTTACAAGATCACAAGTATTCCCGCTGCATCTACAATAACAACTAATTAACGACAAAATTTAATCAACGTGCTCAAACCACACATGACAAGATTCGCTAGCTCTTGCTCTAGTAATTCCTCCATTAAGTAGTTGGAGTAATGCCGATAGGCAACCTTCCGTTTTGTAATATGGTTGTACAATTCTGTTGCTTCCAGTGTCTTCTTCAAAAACAAAAGGACCTACAAGGGCAATCTTGCGTAAAATTTATTTTGTCGTCTGAGGTCAAGGGAAAACCACTCACTCCATTTTCACCCTTATATTAGTACCCTAATAACCGTGCAGTTCAAGACAAATTTTAGTAAAAGTTCCGTTTATTTAGTCAATCAAGATTGTGAAAACTGACTCAAAATTTTGAATTTTGCATGTAACCCACTCTAGGTCGACAGTTTTAAGCGGAGTCAAGAATTATTACCTTTCATTTAGGTGCTAAGTAAAATTTTACCTGAAACTGCACTGTACAGTCTTTTTTAATGGAGATGTTTCTTAGCTCATCATGAGATAAACGCGTACTGTAGAACTTGCTGAACGTGCAGGTTTTGAATTGAGTATGAGGACCAAAAAACCGTTCGGGATTGGTGGTACAAAAGACACTAACCAATAAAAAATTTAGACATCGCCATTTTGAAAATAAATCGCCATTTGTGAACGTACGAATTTACTCGGTAATTAAATTTCGGAGTTGGAAAAGTTAATAAATTGAATCTCTCAACAAGCGAGCAGAGATCGCAAGCAGCTTCGTTAAAAATTCTTTGGGGGTGAAGTTTAGTTGAGCGCTACAATTATATTTTTCGAACAAGGGCAGTTCAGGAAAAGTTAACTTGCGTGGAAAATTTTCCGTGGAATTATTAACCGGAAATGTTGCCTTCTAATATACACAAATGATAAACCAAAGAGGAAATTTAACATTTTTAAGTGTTGCAAACCTACATAAAGAGACTTCCTTTGAATACGAAAGTAAATGTGCTGATCGAACGGGTTCATCATTACGTGTTTAAGAAAAATTGCGTCGGATTCATAGTGTACTAAGTAAATCACTTCTTAGTTCTTACGTATACCCAAAGTATTATTCACACATGATACTATTACTCAGTTCTTCAGGATTGGAACTTAGATCAGTTTTAACTGTTTTCTAATCCTTTTTTTTTGCGTGATTCTCTCTCTAACTTTGAAAGTATGCTATTTTCTTACCAGCTTGCCAAAAAATAAAGCATATTATTATTATTATTATTATCGTATTTTTGTGCAACTGTTTGCTGAGGATTTTTTCCCTATGACAGTAAACTGTAACAAAATTCAGTCAACTGAATGCACGTACATCACGTTCTCAGAACTTATTTCCACTTACAAGTAAAAAGACTAACACCGAAGCCCATTGTAATCAAGAAAAAATCCCACTTGAAGTAAGAAGAATCAACGGGTTTCCAAATGCCATATACAAGAAGACTTGTAGTTCAAGGTTAGTTCTGCTATTGTAAGTTGTCAAAGTCAGTACTGAATACCTTGAAGAACAGAAGAACTAATGTAAAAAAGGAATTTTTAGAAAATCTAACGTAAAGCTTTGATATCAACAATAATTTATAAATTTGAGGTCCCATTGAATTTAGTTTGGATTTAGAATTAAATTTTTTTATTATTCCACAATTTCAATACGACAATTTGCCAAATTCAAAGGTTCATTTTCTCACTAATTTCATCTGGTAAAAAATATAGTTATATGACCATTTGGTGTTTGCTTTTGTTGACAAGTGGAAGAGTTTTAGAATGGTTGTAGATCAATTGCAGTAGGTAAGCAAAACTCCCAAAAAAGGTAAAAATTGTGTAGATTCGGCTAGCTGAAGGCGGATAACAATTCATTTAATTTTTTGGAAAGAAATTAATTTTAGTTCAGATTCGCATCACTGTGCATTAATGGGTTAATTAAAGGATTGCTCGCGAATCTTGTAAACAAAATCAAACAAAGAAACAAAGATATTTAATGCACAAAAGTGCAACCCTAGCATAGCAATTGATTGATATTGTAGACCCTGTAAACAAAATCAAAGAAAGAAACAAAAATATTTGATGCACCACAAAAGTGCAACCGTAACAATTGATGGTTGCTGTTTCAGAGCAAGTAGTCTTGAAAAATTCCTAGCTTTAAGACAACGAGGGGTTACACTTCCATAATCAGTTAAATGATGACCTGTGGACCGTGTAACAAAATCAATTAACACATTTGATACTTCACAAAAGTTGCAACCCTCACACTTGATGATGGCAATGAGTGGTTTCCCCGGACTGTGCAAACTTAAAATTGTAACAGGGGAACTCTCGTGACTGGGTATTTAAGTTAATACGAACTACCTACAGCTAATATTATGTTTCCATCTTCACTGGCGATTGCTTCATCTAATAAGTCTAGTTTCTGAGATAATGAACGATACACAGACAACGAATAAGGCATCCCCAGAAACATCTTGATGACTGTCTCTTGAACTGAAGGTGTAGGAGTTTGGTATGTAATTCGTACATCATTCAACACTTAAAAAGACAAAGTTCGAAAATTAAAAATTTTGTACCACAACTACGAACCTGCCTCTAAATTTCTTCTTGACAATAATGATTCGATGGGGAGTAAACTTTGTGCACTTGCACTTTCAAAATCATAGTTTACAATGGAGCCTAGATTATCACTCGATTTGGAATCACTAATATAGCTCCGTGAAGAGATAATTTCCTGCAACGTTAATTAAATTTCCTAGTGTAATGCAGGAGTACTTACAAAATCGTCATCGAAATTAAAACTTGTTCTAGACGTGGTATTCCAAAATTCATCACTTGATTTCCAAGCCATTTGTTAATTTACAAATGTGAAAGGTGCATTCATTAAAAATTGAGGTTAGAGAACAACAACACTAGCATCTGTGGTAAGATTTTGCATAGAACACACTGATTTTCTGTTCTATGAATACAGGGGCGAATCTATGTCAAATTAATAATAAAATACAGGACCGTAGCCAGGTGGCCCCACGTAGAACTTGGTATTGCCCTCTCTGGAAACTATAGTTAATGGCCCCTTTGGAAAATACGAAATCTAGTATACTGAGCAGGCTATTACACACAAATTACAATTACACTCTGTGCACAAAATGACAATGAATTTTTAAAAACTTTTTCGAAACAGGGAGGGGCTATCTACACTTAAATAGTGCTTTGGGCATCCTGTAACCAAAATCAAACACGAAATCAAAGAAAATCGATATACTAAAAAATTGTAGGACTCTCGATAGACAGATTCTTATGCCATAAGTTTTCTTTAAACAAATTATAATTTATAAAACCGAAAGGATCTTTACTTTTATATGCACCCTAAGGGTGGTCCCTCTAAACAATATCAAACAAGAAAACGATGATGAAAACTACAACAATTACAGCCCTCACAATAAACAGTTTTCTCTATTTTTATCGGTTTTCAATGTAGGCTACCATCACTAATAAGTAAGAAAGAAGTCATCGATTTCAACATTTTCGTCGCAGTATGTTGTATCTTACATAGCACGTGCAGCAGCTTAGAGATTAGTAAGCAAACTCTAAGTTTATCTTCATTATGAAATTTGGGGGTTCAACTCAACTTAAGAATATTTTCCAAAGCTCAAAACGAACACACGCTGTTAAACGCGAAATACTTATTTGCGTTACACACTGCCAATGCCAAGCGTTTCATTTGCTCTCTACTTCGATTTGTAGTTCACGTCGGGTAATACAACACATACTTTAAGCATATTTGTACCCCAGCTCCCAAAATCCATACAGTATATGCCTGGGCCTGGGGTACATTTGTAGGTAGGTATGTGGTATTATGGAAGATAATCTGTTAGATTGACCAAAAAGAAATAAAATAACACATTGTTCCAAGTTTTATACACCCCTGGAATCAGGCATTGATCGATTCAAATGCCCCTGATGGATTACCATAAATTAGCATCCATTGTAAAAATTAAAAAATACGGTAATACCTAATTGTTGTTAAATTACAGTGTTTAACAAGTATTTACTAAAAAGAACCTTTTCGTCCACATATTAATTGATTTTCATAACAAGTTAACAACCGTCATTTTCAATGAGGTCCTTAGATCTTGCACTCCGCCGCTACTCCAAATGTAAAAGGAAAATAGAAAAATAGATGCATTTTGCTCCATTGTGCTACAGGAGAAAATGTTGGTATTTCAAAGGCAAGGGAAAGGGGATATGGCAGGAAGTGGGTTTTAGCAGTGGCGTATTTACGGGGGGGGGGGATGAAGGGGATATATACCCCCCCAGAAGAATTGAGTTATCATCATAGCTATTAGTTATTTAGGTAATACCTTCTCTTATATATATGGGTAATACTCCGCTATCCGCTCCGCCCACTTTAAAATAAAGGCATATATAGGTATATATAGAGAGCAATTTTGGTTTTGGTTAAAGTCTAAAGTCACTAAAATAGTCTGTAGTATTCAGTATTCACTATTCAGTGAGTGATCAGTGTTGGCAGTCAACGATTTGGCTATTCGGCATCGATCGGCAATGCGCAAAATAACAAATAGGTATCAGGTACTTAGTACTGCTACTGAGGTGAGGTACCTGCGTCCTGCCTTTCACGAAATGACGAAAATAAGAATTTTAAATTTTAAAAACAGGAATTTTTTTGCCCATAACTTTTGGTTGAGACGTCTAATCGAAAAAGTACGAATCGTTTTGGATTCTACGCACCCAAATTAATAAGAAAAAGTTTTATCCCGACAAATTTTGGTGCTGTCGATTTTTGGTAAAAAAGGAAGGTAATAACTGCCTTTTTTTTGCCCAGAAAAAAAAATTGTCTCAGATCGACCGGAAAAAATATTTTCTTATAGAATGTGGCCTGTAGAATCCATAATTCCAAACAGTTCCAAGATCGGACTACTAGATCAAAAGTTACAGTTCCAAGATCGGACTACTAGATCAAAAGTTACAGCCCTTTGAATTTTTTGTCGAAATTGGTTTTTTGTCCATAAATATACCTATTATTCAAAGTTTTCGTTGACTAATTAAAGCAAAAGCAATAAAGGGGCCTGTCAGCAGTAAGAAATAAAATACCGTTCCAATCTAATCTTTTTCGCCTGTACAATAATAAATAGATAAATGACTACCAGCATCAGCAACCTAACTTCCAACCCAATTTCTATTTCTTACCCCCCCCCCCTCCCCTTCTAGTACTGGGGTGACTGTATGTGCCACGAACTTGTTTAATCCCCCCCCCCCCCCCCCAGAATACATTTCTACGTACGCCACTGGGTTTTAGAAGAATTTTGCCCGACTCCTTTTTATACTAATTTTGGTAAAAGGCGCATTTTAATAATTTTTATAAGAATGACATTTTGGTGCTACAGCCTTTTTAGCATTGGTTCTGTAGTATTATAGTCGAAGCATTTATCTAACATTTTAATTTTAATTTTAACTTTGTAATTCTTGACTACATCTTCGTTTATCATTCCTGTTTAGGCATGGGCCATCGCAACGGAAAAGTTTTTTCAAATGTTCTTCGCAGCAATGTGTAGGTAAGTAGGTACAATCACTGACAGAAGTAACATCCCCTATGGACACCTCAAATGTATTGGAGTAATAAATCCCCGCGATATCGTGCAAAAGGGTAAATAACGTATACCATACGGTTAGTTTAATGTATTCCCAAAAAAACCCTGCAGTTACCAACTGGACCGAACATGCATGTTGACTTGATGTAGTTAATGGTAATTAATTCTGTCAGTAACTGTACATACCAGACTAAAACGATATAGACTAACACTTTGCTTTTGTTCAATTATAGACTACAAATAATTCCATGAGAAGCGGACACAGTTTATAATGCATAAACATTGCATCTACTGAAAATGGGTTGGTCTTCTTGGAGAAGTTGATCGTAGAGCTTTTTTTTATTGATAATTTATTTGGAGGTACATCAACCTTTGTTTTTAGCACCTTAAAACTACATTATTATTTTAATTATGTACAGTTTATTAAAAAATTCATAGAAGGATGTTTTGAACACATTTTTTGTCAGTGTATCATGTAAAATAGCGCAATCAAGAATTTAGAATTCATTTTTAGTTTAGAAATAGGTACTTGCAATCTTTAGAACCTTCAGAACTATTAGAATCCTTACAATCTTCATAAATCCTTCTTCGTAATGTGTTCTTGGAATCTCCCGAAACATTACCAATTTTCTTAAAAACCATTTTGAAACTATTTCATAGCCTGAAAAATTTGTGATACATTAGAGATTTAGTTAATTTTTACTTTTGGATAACTATATTGTAGCAAAAAAGGTTTTTTACTGTAAATAGGTAAATATGTTTTATTATCACAAACGCCCACTACGCTTAATTATCGAAAATACAAACTTTCTTCGGCTGTGTTAAAATAGAGCCAGAGGGAGCAGCGCCCACTTTGGAAGTTAATGATGTTACCCACTATAGAAGAAAGTAGTGTGTGATTAGTATAAAAAGATAATAATAAGATAAAATAATAGATTTTTAAACATAAAGGAAAGCTCCTTGCATTGACTGAAAACGTAGCGACCATCTACTTACTTTATCAAAAACATCAAAAAGTGCTGAAGAAATAAAAATTCTCATAGCGATGGAAATAGGACCTTGTTTTTCTTTACTAATAATAAAATATCGTTTATTTCTAAAATTCATAGCAGGTCGACTTACCCTAGGGCCTAGATCGAATGGAAAATGATTGTTTCTGAAAGAATTATAGCCTAGAGAGCTGGTAGAAGTGAGAAAAAGTACGCTATTTTGATAGACCCTAAATTAGGGACCGCACTGGTTGTCAAAATTACGTGACATCAAATGCAAAAGCAATTTTTTCTTTGTTGTAATCACGACTAACGTCACCAAATTTTGGATGGCAGGTCCAGTTTGTAAACCCCGTTTTACGAAAAAACGTCAACCTTCAACAATCTATTGGAATTTTTTTTTAACATGATCCATCGTTCCTCTAAATGGAGTTGAGTGATATCAAAGATTAAGAAAATCGGATCTCAAAGCCTTCCCCATACATTTATTGTTGTACTATTAAAACACTACTGTAGTTTCGGCGATGATCGCCATCATCAGATAAAATTAATTATTATAGATTGAAGGTGTTGTTGTAAAGGTTAAACATTGAAGACGGGTTGAAAATGAAAAGAATAGAAGGTGCTGGAGTTACATTTTTTGAAATGTTTAACGCATTGAAGATGGAATGTGTTGAAACTTAAATTTTACGGCACAGACAAATATTTAAATGCACCATTTAAGGGCTCTAAAGCCGAAGAGGGTGGCCTAATTAAAAACAACCAATCGGACGTAGAATGGGATCAAAGAGAATCTTTTTTAACACGTTTTTATTGGTTCTATTGCGGCTATCGATTTCAACCTCGTAGGGTCATCATCAGGCCGAGCGTCAATACTATGAAATGATGAGGCATGTACTATTATTAGCGGAGTAGTATGTGTAAGTTATCAGGAAAGATGTTTACTAAAATTGAGGTTGTGTATGATTGTCTTGAATGAAACGTGTGTTCAAGACAATCATACACAACCTCAACCTCAACCTCAATTTTAGTAAACATCTTTCCTGATAACTTACACATACTACTCCGCTAATAATAGTACATGCCTCATCATTTCATAGTATTGACGCTCGGCCTGATGATGACCCTACGAGGTTGAAATCGATAGCCGCAATAGAACCAATAAAAACGTGTTAAAAAAGATTCTCTTTGATCCCATTCTACATCGCACAACACGTTTAAAAACAATGGAACAATACATCAACCGAACCAATCGGACGTTGAATTTTGAATTTACATTGAACTTGAACTTGTTAAAGTTAAAAATTGAAACTATAACACATATTGGAAAAGG